AATGGAAAATGAAATGGAAACGGCTTAGTATACATATATATATATATACATATATGTAGGGTTATATAGGGATTATGTGAGCTATAGTCTAAACTCGTTAAAGGAGGGTTATATAGGGGACTCGTATAGGGGTTATTAAGGGGAGCTCGGAGTTTAGACTATGGCTCATGTACGCCCGTATAGAAGCCCAGTTTCCATGCCATGTTCCATCTGAATCTCCATTATTCATATCCAGTTCGGTGAGATGCTCATGTGGAGTTGTGCTGTGACAGCCCGGCATGGAAGGTCCAAACGAAATCAGGCTCCTGCACGGGGTGTGGTGTGTGCCAAGTTGTTGAGGGTTTAGGGTTGCTTCCTCCCTTCAATCTTTCCGACATCATGTTGAGGTCTATTTGGAGTACCTTATGGTATAAATGTTCAAGGAAACTGGGATCACGATATTAGCAAATATCCCACAAACCTCTATGTAACGCGGTGTTCATCCCATTCTTTTCCATGTGCTTCTCCATTTTTGGATAATATCCCTAAAGCCCATACACATAGTTATAATCCCTATAAGCCCTTGTATAATATATGTATATATATATATGTATGTATATAATATAGCAAATTCCATTGGTAAGGCTGTTAGTGCTCCGGCCTATGAGCCTCCGAGCTGCGCCAGGTTAGTGAACCGGCAGGCTGGAGTGCATCGGAGTGTGTCACGAGATAACCCCTATATAACCATAGTCTAAACTCCTTAAAGGGGGGTTATATAGTGGATCATAGAGGGGGCTATTATAGGGCTTACTAAGGGGGATACTAGGAGTTTAGACTATAGCTCATATAACCCTGCCATATCCTCTATCTTATCCCAATATACTATAGTAGTTTCCATTTTCTTTTCCATTATCCCTATATAACCCTGCATACCCCTATATGTTCCTAGTTCCCATTTCATTTTCCACTTCATTCTCAATTATTAGGAATACTTACTGTGCTGAACTTTGCCATTGGCACAGGTTGGCCCTGGCATGTTCATGCAGCAGCAAGAAGAGGTCCAGAGCGCGCCCACCAAGGATGACAATTTGCCATTTCAATGCTTTCAGCTGTTTCTGAGGTCAGGAGAAATGCAAGCAGGAGGTAGCTGTGATAGATGCCCACATAGAGAAGGCCTGCTCAAGCCCAATGACATTTGCCATAATCGGTACATAGGGAATAATGGGTATAATGGGTATATAGGGTATATGGGGTATTTGGGGTATATGTCCTGACTGAGACCTGTGCGGTGCCCCATCTGAGTTGCAGGGAATGCGAGATGGCGAAAGCCTCACTTTCCCCCGCATGACTGATCAGAGGTGCGGGCGCAAGACAGCATGTGACTTCCTTGGAAGATGTATGTGGATACATATATACAATACACATCTTGTACGTACAGTGATTATGAATGTGCAGGGACATAGAGGGATGTAGAGATTTGCAAAATTACTGAGACTACAGCTCATCTTACTTAACCTTTGCTTCATCCTCTGCTGCTGGCACGAATCAAGTTTGCCTTTCAAACAGAAATGTGATGCTTTCCATCAGTCAGAGGGGCCGCAAACTAGACCCGCAGTATGTGCAGCATAGTCCCTATAACAGGTAAACCCCCAAAAGGACCCCCATTTTTTGGAAACGCAATGTCAGGCCTGGCATGATACCTGGCAGCATGATCTTGACGCTCAAGGCAGCTTCCTAGAATTTGTATTCATACTACACTTGGATGGTTGTCAAAATTATGGTCCTTTTTAATATCCCTATTATAATACGGCACCTAATATTTAGGGTGCCCAAAAAGGGATCATAATTTTGACCACCACTCACTTACGTCTTCCTGGTGGCTGGTAGGGAATAGGGAAGGCAGCTTCACAAAGAGAATGCATTCTACTATGTATTATTCAGGGCTTAGGGTTTAGGTGGTTACGTAGGTATGAAAGACTGCAATGTAGGGGCTCTTCCTGGGAACGGTATTGGGGCCGCTAGAGGGATCCCCTCCTCCCTTCCCTAAGCGCCAGAGATATCCTAAGGGGTATACTATAGGGGGTGTAATATCCGAAAATAGTATGGGGGCATAATATACACAAAAGTGAAAATAAAATGGAAACTACTGACTACCATTTACTGGGGTGGAGATGTGTTTGTGCTAAGATGGGGGAAGTGAATTCCTTCACAGGCATATCCGCATGAGAAGAAGAAGAAGAAACACCTTAATTCCCGAGCACCAAGCCCTAAACCCTGAACCCACCTAAAGCTTTTTGCATCGTCCTGACACTGCAAGTTGCACGGCCCTGGACTTCAGTGGGCTGGCAAAAGTACTTTCACAGTAAGAACGCCGACGCTTCCAGTCACTAATATTGGGGCTTAGTAATAATAATAATAATAGTACTAATAATAAAATTATTATTGGGATAATGGAAAAGAAAATGGAAGCTACTATAATGGGTTATATAGGGATTACATAGGGATTATATGGAAATAATGGAAAAGAAAATGGAAACTATAGGGATTATAGGGATTATGTTAATGATTTGGTCTGTCAGCTATCTATTCTCCGTCGCCTGTCAGCGAGTGGAATCACCCACCTGCCAAGTTTAATGTCTTGTCTCTCGACGATTACCTGGAGGGATCCTGGCTTTGCTATAAGTTAGGGATGGGATCTACTTATCAAGAGTTACCCCTGTCAGAGGCTGCGACAGAGTTTCAATGGGGATACAAAGGGGATTGCCTAACTCCAAGGCCCCTCAGACTGTCGGTAAAAGAGGCGTGCGCTAGATCCTCTGGTGTCAATCCAGGGGCTTCTCAGAACCCTACACCCTAAACCCTAAACACTACCCCCAAGGGTGTGTCCCACCCCTTGGCATCCTTTCAAGGTACTAGCAGGCACAGGGATCATGCACATCCGGGTCACCATCCATTAACCGCCTTCGTTTTTAAGGCCCCCCTGTCGCCATCCTCGTCTCGTAACCGTCATCGGTTGATGTTGCAGACCTCAAAAATGCCTCAGAAGTGCCAACGATTCCAGGGATAGCGGGTGTCTTGGTCACAATTCTCCTAACTAGAAGTGCTTTATGGGTCGCAGGCTTTAAGCCTGCCAGCGTGTCCCCCACCACCCACGCCAGAGGCAGTGAGAGGAAACTACAGGGGATAGAACAACCATGGGGGGGGGAGATTTGAACGACATCAAGAACAACTTATTGCAGACGTACTGCAAGCTTCAAGAAGTTCCGGATCAGTGTCGCTTGACCCGAGAGTCACAGCCCATCACCCTACGGCAGGCAGGGGAAAAGATCTGAATGCTGTCAGCAGCGATGAATGAGGGACGGCTGTTGAAGGAGAACTACCACCCACAGTACAGCGGAAGGGGGAACATCTGAATGTGTTTAAAACAATGCTGACAGCTTTGGGAGAAAGGGCACCCACCGCAACACAGGGGAAAGATTTGAATGAACTGACATTTATTCGCCACACTACAGGCGGGGAGGGGGCCATCTTTGAATCAGCAACCTGAAGGCTTTAGATGCTATTTTCAGCAGCACACACTGATCTTCCAACCCTACAGCTCCTGTCGTTGTGGTTAGGGAAAACCCTGCAGATAGACCTTCTGTCGCTTTCAGTTCCCTGAACCCTAAACCCAGTCTCCAGTCATCTGAGACTCATTGCAATAACTGCGGATGTCCAGGTTGCAAAGCATCCCGAGTTTGAAAGACGCGGAGATGACCTGCACATGAACACCAAGGCATCAGAGTTGCTGTGCCCTGGTTTAGGAGCCAAAGTCGAGACTCCTTAAAGGGGGCTATGTAAGGGATTATGCCGGGGACTACTATCGGGGTTATTATAGGGCATACTAGGAGTTTAGACTATGTTTAATATGATGCCTGGGTTGCGGAGTTGAGGAGGTGATGACCGCACCAGGTCAGAAAGAGCTTTGTCATGCCAACTCCCTGGAAATGAAGGTTCTGTGATTTGAGGTCCTAGCAGCGTCTTTGTAAAAAAAATACCTAAGCCCTAAAGAGGAGTTTCCAGTTTCTTTTCCCTTATCCCCTATATAACCCCAATATACTATATTATGTTGAGACCAATTTTAGCTGGGCTTGTGGAGCTGCTAATTACTGCTACAGCAGGCTAGTTCTTGGGTGGCTCTAAGTGTACACATCACCAGTTGCCTGGTGGAATCTACTAAGAACTTGTTTCGTGTTGAAGCTTTATCATGACCGTACGCACCTAGGAGATGCTCAAACAATGCCTGTACAGTTCCGCTGAAGGTGAGGATCCTACAAGAAAGGGCAGCCTATCCCAACCCCAAAGGAAAGTGTAGGGGCTGTATAGGGGTATAGATTGGGTCAAGCTCCCACTCAGTAATGGTGACATACTCGGAAGTTATGCAGACCCTCAGCTTGGAAGCGCATCCACGGAACCATGCGGGGAAATAGCCGCTTTTGTTGGCAATGCGGCTATGAATGCAATGGCGTTTGTGTATTGCAAGGTGACGCTTCGAGAAGCTCTCCTTGGATGGACAAAGACTGTGAGGTGCGCTCTTAAAGTTGGATTGCTTCAGGCTGCCATGGGGGTTGGGGTTTAGGGTTCAGGGTTTAGGGTTTATATAAGGGTATATTGGGGTGTATGAGGATACTGGAAAACAACATGGAAACTACTTACTAATTAGGGTTTTGGGTTAGGTTATTCAGGTCTAGGTCTTAGGGTCTAGGAGTGGTATTGCAAGTGCCACTGTAGGCTGATCTTGGTTTCCATTTCATGTCCAGTTGGGTGGTTGTCAAAAGTATGGTCCCTTTTTGGGTACCCTAAATGTTAGGTGCCGCATCTTAATAGGAATCCAAAAAGGGACCATAATTTTCACAAGCGCCCAGTTGTTTGTTCATTTGATTCTGCCTTATACCTCTATACCATACCTATAATTTCCCCAAAAAGCCCAGATGTACCCCTCGTATAACCCCCTAATCATCCCTATAGTTAGCGACTATGTGGTCAGGCACATGGACGGCCACACAGTGGAGATCGGTCCGGAGCTCAGTAACTGCTCAAGCTTGCCTTGTTGTTCTGAGGCCTCAAAGCGTGTTTGCAGATAAGCCAAACCTGAAACCCCGAAGTATGTAGAATAAAGGACGGTTTGGCCTTTTTGGGGGTTTGGGGGGTCCAGGAAGACGTTTACAGAGATGGGTTCAGCTGAGGGACAGACAGCGTGACAAAGCCCTTCCAAGTCATCAAAGTCGGCGGCCTGGTGTCTACCACCGTCGGCGGCCATGCATGCTCACCACGAAGCCAGGTACGAGGTGAGGGTATGCCGCTGCGAGACGTCCGCGGTCTTAGATTCAACTGATGGATGGCAACATATATCAATGATCTTGCTATCTTGCTTGCGCTGAGGACCCTTCTGCGTTTGGTGACCTGTATGTCAAGGTGGAAGCGGGCCCCTGAGAATGATTTGAGCCACCTTCTGCAATTGGCCTCAGCTACTGTCAGCACATTTTGAAGGTCATGTTCCCTCGGGCACTTAGCGGCTCGCAGCAGGAGCCGCCATGGTCACCAGTGCAAGCATATGAGCCATAGTCTACACTCCTTAAAAAGGTGGTTAAAAAGGGGAGTATAAAAGGGTTATTGAGGGGGATACTAGGAGGTTAGACAATGGCTCACATGGTCGTGTTCCTGCACAGCGCCTTTCACCTGCATGGTAAGCATTTGTGAGGATCAGATTGCAAGCATCTTCTCCTGAGCTGGGAGCTCAACCAAGATATCTAGGATGGTATATTGGGCTTATAGAAGGATAATGGAGAAGAACATGGAAATTATTTTAGTATATTGGGGTTATATAAAGATAATGGAGAAGAAAATGGAAACTATTATAGTATACCTAGGATTGCGTATCAACTTCGTAACCTGAATATGTACTGTAAAGCAGGGTCACCCAATCCCTGAGGCTTGTCCAGGACATCACCGTGGCCGAGAATCTAAGAGCCCTTGAGCTGCGCTGGCTCAGTGATCTTGGACAGTTAGATAGTTAGTGTCTAGAATCAAGTGGGAGTTGTTTTAAAATTTCGGTACCCTAGGGATCCAAGGGATATACAGGGAGTACAAAAGGACTGTGGGGTCCTTGTTAGTATATGGGGCCATTTTGAGAAGTTGACTAGTATCTCAATTGCAAAATCTTTGTTATGACCTCATGCTATCAAGTCGAGCCACTCAGACTGTCAAAGCGTGAAAGGAGGCAAGAGGCTGGGTAGCGGCGAAATACTGGCTAGAGTCACAAGGTCAGCCAGCACCGCATTCGTAGATTTAATTTGTTTGACCACGGCACATGATGGAAAACATAGCGATGAACGTAGCAGCTAGGTTTCTGTGTCACCCCGTCGTTGTTATGCAACGAAGCGCCCCGCGCTAAAGACCATTCACAAGGTGCTTCGGCACCACCTCGTGTGTGCGAATGGTCGGCTCATCCATCGCCTTCCGGGTTCTCAGTAGGGAACAAGGGAATATGATCCCTAATTCTATAGTATATTCCCATTTTCCCTACTAGAAACCAAACAGTTTAGCAGCCTTAAGAGCAAGTTGAGCAGATTTTTAATTGGGATATTTCGGTACCCAATATAGAGTAGGATTATATCCACCTCTTGAGTATAGTATCTTACACACAGAATATAATCCTATGAGGTTCAATCACAACAAAAGCTACTCAACTGTATCAGGAGCAAGGGATGAGCCTGCCATTCATCCAGGTCCTCGGGCTGGCAAAAAGAGTGGGCACATAGCACATGGGTGGTTGTCAAAATCATGGTCCCTTGTTGGGTCCCTATTATAATACGGCACCTAATATTTAGGGTACCCAAAAAGGGACCATAATTTTGACAACCGCCCACATGTTAGAAGAACTGGCCCTGTGTGCAGAATAGCCTTCGGAGCTGGATCATCACCGCAACCTCAGCTCCATTTAACAGTTGAGCAATAGTAGTTTGAAGTTTCTTTTCCATGATTCCTATATAATCCCTATATAATCCCTACATAACCCATTATAGTAGTTTGAATTTTCTTTACCATTATCCCTATATAACCCCAATGTTCGGATCTGAGCATGTCAAATTTGAAGATGGTTCGCTGATACAGTAGCCACGTGCGCCAATTTTGCAGAGCAGAATTGAGCAGACAGCATGGCCTTCAATCACGCATGGTGCCCTATCTTACGCCAGGCATCTGGCTCGCAGCAAACTACTAGACTTAGGGTAGTTTCTACGTGCCTCGTAGTCGCGGCAGTATGCCCGCAAGTCCAGCGCTTCCCCCAGCTGCACGGGCAAGCCCAGAGGTCGTATGAGCATAGTCATATCGAGTCAGCGCAACAGCTGAGAAGGTTGAATCCAGTCCAAATGCATTATTCTGGCACCAAGACCATGACGAGGATGACGACTGCTATGAGATTGCGTTGTTCAGCTCGCCAAGTTAGAACGGCCTTACCCGACCTCACGCTAAATAGACAACAGCACCCAAATCCAAATGGGCGTTTCTCAAAATTAGGGGCGCCACCTGAAGGGTCGCAATAACGGCTTTATCGTGTTTTTGGGTTCAGCGTTTAGGGGTCCCCAATTTTGGAAACTACCACATGGCCTTTGTCAGGGTTTGGAATTGTTACAATTTGGCCAGAAGCAAGGTCCCGACCTCGCGATGCTTGCAAGGGCGCGACTCTGCAGACCAGACATGCTTTACCTAAACCCTAAACCCTAAGTACTGGTAATAGTAACAATAACGGTAATGGTTACAGTAATAGTACGTACTAGTATACCAATCAGTGGGTAGCCGGTCCGGAAACGGGGATGTGTCAAGGTCACATGTCCTCATGCTAAAGAACTGTTATTTCATGGGGTATGTCGACCTTGAAGGTTAAGCCCGAAGACATTTTTTGTGCACAGCTTCGTTGTGCCAGGTGGAAACTCCGGCAAAGTGCTGCTGGCGTGTTTGTGAAAGGGAGCTTTGTCAATTTGCAATATGGGGGTTTCCCAAAATTAGGGGTACCTTATTGGGGCTCCCCATAATAAGGACTATAGTACATTGGGGTCTATATTGGGTTCCCCTTATTTTGGGAAACTACCATATGTGCCTTAGCGCGAAGTGTAGGGTGACCAGATCCAGAGCAACCTGAGATGGGAGTTTCCCAAAATTAAGGCACCAGCCACCAAAAA